ATTTATTACTCTTCTTCCTCACCTCCAAAGACTAGAAATGATCTTGTTTATTCTCTCTCACTCCTTATAACAAGGACTCTCTTACTGCTCTTTTTATTTTCTTTAGCTTATTTGTCCTTGTGTGGCAGAGCACAAAATCAATGGCCTGAGAAATAGTTATAAAATAGCAAGGATCAGTGGCCTAAGAAATAGCTACAGGATCCCCAGATGAAAAAACAGTTGTCAGCAGTGAATACAGATGACAGTTGCTACAGCTGATAGACCATGTATCAATAGCTGATTACAAGGATTTCAACAGGAGTCTGTAGTACAATTTGGGAAACTTAAAGTGTTAATTAATTTCAAGTACATTAACTAATGCACATCAACTGTGTGTAGAATAGAAAGGATTTATTATTAACTGTCAATTTGCTCTTTGTTCCCATCTTCACCTTTTCTTTTCTTGCCTCCTCACCCCTTTCGTACTGTATACAGGAACACATTCTTCTACAGACCACAGGCCATATACTTGGATCCACAGGCGACAGTCTTTCTGTACAGAAAGGCTATTAACACCGAATAACTAAATTGCACAGTTAAATAGTTGCAGTGTTTCAATACTCTACCAATTTTGCACTAACACGCAGTCTAGCTCCCTTTCTGTGGTACCCTTAGGCTAAGCGCCACCTCTGCTATACCCTTTTAGTCCTGCTGTTGGCAAATGCCTAGCGCACAAACTGAAATCCTTGCTACTTTTGTTTAAGGGGCAGTAAACTATTAAAAAATGAGGGAAGATAATTAAGAGAGATGCATTTTATTCTTCCAGTTTTATCAGCAGCTTGAGAAGACACTGATGTAGGCAACATAGCGCTCCAATATGCTAAAGTAGAAACCTTTGTGTCCTCAGGTATATCCCAAAGCATCTTCAGTATCATGTAAAGCATTGTTTGGTTGATAATCACAGAATCATAGAATGGTTTGGGTTGGACCTTTGAAGGTCTAGTCCAACCCCCATGCAATGAGCAGGGACATCTTCAACTAGATCAGGTTGCCCAGAGCCCCATTCAACTCAGCCTTAAATGTTTCCAGGGAGGGGGCACCTACCACCTCTCTGGGCAACATGTTCCAGTGTTTCACCACTCTCATCATAAAAAACTCCTTCCTTATATCGAGTCTGAGTTTACCCTCTTTTAATTAAAACCCTTACCCCTTGTCCTATCACCCTACTAAAAAGTCTGTCCTATCTTTTTTATAATCCCCCATTTAAGTATTGAAAGGCCACACTAAGGTGTCCCTGAGGCCTTCTCTTCTGCAGGCCGAAAAACCCAAACTCTCTCAGCCTCTCATCACAGGAGAGGTGCTCCAGCCCTCTCATCATTTTTGTGGCCCTCCTCTGGACCCGCTCCAACAGCTCCATGTCTTTCCAGTATAATTCCCATTAACACTAGAAAATATAGAACAGGAAAATATCCCCATGGATAAAGGGTTGGATTAGATGGCCTAAGAGATATTCTCCATCTCTAACTTTGGTGATACCATGAAATGTTTTTTAGCTGCTAGTATGGTATTATATATTAACTTTAACATGTATTTGCAACATAAATTTATCTAGTAGTCTCAATATGTACAGTGTAAGTGACAAACAGAAATAGTTTACATTTGGAAGATTAAGCTTTAGAGCCTGTTTTTCCAATATTTGCTATTAAGCCAACTTTGTAATAAGATGGTTCAGCTGATGCTGATGGAAGTTTTGCCATTGATTTCAATGGAATCAAGATTTTAACTTGGATACCTAGAATTATACGGGCAGTTTGTTACAATCTGATCCTGTGAGCAAGGTTTTGTCTCTTGCTGATTGCTCACTAGACTTAACTTTATGACAATGAAAAGAAAAAAGATAAATTGAAGAGTTTCATAGTTCTGGGGACAGTTTGTTTTGAATACTTGTCAAACCCAGGACCAGCAGCTCAAAGTACAGGACATTAATGTCAATCAGCTTTAAGAGAGAAGGACGGGAGGCTAACGTATCTGCACAAAATGAGGGCAAGAACATCAGAGCATGTGAGCGTCTTCCTCTCCAAAGACCAAACGGGTATTTTACATGCTCCTGCCAGGTCTAGCAACTCCCACACCACCATGACTAGCAAGACCACTTGAATACTCTGCCACATACTCCATGCTTATCTGGCAATAATAACAATAACACATTGTTACTGGGTTTAGTACATCTGAAGTTCTGCCACTCATTAAATGATGGTCTTCGGAATAAAAAGGATTTATAAACACTCCCTATAACTCTTCCCATAATTTTATGATGCAAAAATGCTCCACCAAACTACAGCATCTGTAGCCAGTTTGATGTTACAGTTAATGGCACTTGGGATGTTTATGCAATGTATATAGGCACACAACCAGCATTCAGACAGTTCACTGTACTATTTCTGAGCTTATTATTTTCTTCATTTTGCATTTCTCAGGGACACACCACTGACAGTATTGATTTTTACACACATGTGATGACAGCTAGTATTTGTCTGTAAGACTATGACTTCTGTCATATTGCTGAAAATACTCTGTAAAAGGAAATTACAGAGACACAGTGGCTGTATTCCTTAAAAACAGGAATCCTAAGTGCCAGGAAGAAATCATATGCCATGGCAACAATGGCTTTTAGAGCTGTACTGTCAAATTCAAACTTTAAAGTCACAATATTTGCATCTGGAAATTTAGTTTAACTAATTTTTCAGAGAGCCTAGCAGCAAAAAATCTGACTTTTGACTCTCCACTGGAAACAGTGACTTAAGCACTAGCAAAGCTTTTCACTCAGGAAGGCCACAGAAATTAACGACAGCTATTGAAATTTTATATTCCTCACTGGTTTCTGGAAATTATACCTCAAAGCTGTGAGATATAAACATTTAAAGCTAAAAAAACCCAGCCAAAGAAACAATTATCAAATACATATGAAAAAGCATTACCTGGAGAATAACCTGTGACTCTGCATCTTTGTAAAGACAAAACCAAACAGGTTTTCACTACCTGTTACAGAACTCCCAGTCTAACATATAAAAGACTTCCTTTTTCACATTTTTGAGCCTTTGTGGTCAGCAAGGTCAAAGCAAGATGGTGAAATTGCAAGCAGCCTACTTACTGTTTGTAATGATGTCATTTTTTCACATAAGGTCAGTTAATTTAAAGCCACATTTGCTATTTATTATATAGAAGGTGTTACCTCCATTAAACATAAAATCTTATATGCAGAACTTATAAATTGATGGAAAAGAAAGAAGAGTAACACACTGAAAAGCCCACAGGACAGAATAACTTCCAGTTTTAATAAAACAGGACACACTATTTGTCACTAACAAGAATAATGTTTTCTTATGGGAATAGATAAATTTTTTTCTGGGAGGAAGCAGATGAAAAGGTTCAGTACAGCTCCCACGCTGAACATCTGCAGATATTTATTTTAGGCAAATTTGGCCTGCTAATTGATATTAATGAGCTGTGTGGAAACTCTCAAATAAAATTATGTTCCATGGTTAACCCTCTGCCTTTGAAGCTGATGGGATGGAGATGGAGCCTCACAAGGATTTCTTTCTTTTACATTGCAATCCAGTTAAAACAGCCTGCTGATGTATTAGTATCTATGAAGCACTCAGAGAACTAAACCTACTAAAGATTGTACTATGTAGTTTGGTTTCCAGTGGTTTGGTTTGGATTTTTTTCAGTTACCAATTTCATAATTAAATAAATAAATTAGCATAATAAGTCAGCATGAACAAGACTAAGCAGCAAACTTAAAGCAAAATATATTAGGATTTTGAAAAACATTGTTAAAGTATAATGGCAGGGAGTAACACCAGTAGAAAATCTAGCCTCGCAGCAATGTATTAGACAGAGACACACATACATAAATTAGGAGCATGTAAAATGGCCATACTTTTACTTCAAAATACTGTGATTATCACAATTTTTATTTGCTCCTCTATGGACTTTTGAGTGTCCCCTAGGCATAGTAGGCCACACTCGCTACTCTGACAGGAAATACTTTATTGTTCATACACGATTGAAATATTCTGAACGGAGAAGAATTTTCGCCTTATCTCTGAAGAGTTATCTGAAAATCCTTTTTTCTAGCTTTTCCAATACCTGTTTCCTGACTCTTGCTCGAACTGAAATGCAAAAAAAACCCCAAAACCAACCCAAGACTACATGCAGAGCCCTTTGCGCCCCAAATCTAACAAAGTAGAGAGAAAACATTAACAAACTTTTAATAACAAAGCTCCATTTATTCTGTGAATGTCAGAATGTAAGAACTCTTCATTAAAGAGCTCAAAGTTAACCATTATAAGGGATGACTTGTACTTCTCATCCTTCTAATTCAAATCTCACACAAAAATGCAACTGGTCCCGTTTATGGCTTGGATGATCCTCAGGAGCAGCACTGTTATGTGCTCATGTGCACAAAGGCTAGCACAACAGGGCTTTAAAAATGAAAACAGTCCTCAAGAACAGCAGAACAATTCATTTAATTTTACGCCTCATTATTGTACTGTGATAAACAATATTCATGGATTTCAACAGTCAGAATGAATTAGAAGCTACAGTCTGGGCATATTGTTTGCTGCCTATTTTGTTGTTGTTCTATTTGTTTTCTGAACCTGCTGTTTATTAACACTGACTAATTATCATGTAGCCAGCTTCTCATTCATGAGACGTAGTGCAGTTACACTGAATACAAATCTCTCTCCCCTACGTAGTGGGGAACAAAACTTTGAAGAGGATCCTGAAAACATAGCTGGAAAATCTGCACGAAGCTCATGACAGTCAAAAAGAGACATCTGCATTAACATGAAGAACAAGCTACCTGAGGAAAATGGCATCAGTGAACTGTTGTTTCATTTGCATACATCGATGTCGTCTCTTATTTTATTGTGCTTGGAGAATCCCACCGAGGCACATGGAGCTAGGAATGTGTCCTTGCTAAAAGACAAACTGGTTGAACTGTACTCTCAATAAATACATGCTTCTCCCTATGAAAAGACATGCTTTCTAGTTTTATGGGCTCACTTTCAGACTTCATCTGAAAACAGGCGAAGTCATGTTTATCTGTTTGTGTTACATGGTGATATGATTAGCAATTATATTCCAATTTAGGACAAGGGCTTTGGATTAAAATTAAGGGAAAGAAAAGCATACTGAAAATTCAAAGCTGTTTTTTAAAAGTACAAGGGCCACAAGTCTGCCATGCCTTTAATTTTCCAGTGGGCTTGGATATGACAATATCCTTGTACCTTGTTTCAGCAGTAATATGCACAAAGACAGTAGCTCAGTAGCAGGTGGGCTGCTTATATTATCTGGATGCAATGATGAATGGAAACTATAAAGACTCTGAGCAGAATGGCATGACAATAGTTTTAATGGCTTGTAATCTACATTTGCTAGGGTCTGGTCAGGTCAAATAATTTACGAAGCAGAGAAACTAGGACAATAAATATAAACAGCATAAAATCAAAACACTTTTTAATATGAGTCATATGAGTCATATTCAAGATATTTGAATATACATTTATACCTGGCAAAAGTACATGGTTAGTTTTGAGCACATGATGAATTTCAAAACATTGAAGGCTCAGTTTGAACTGCAGTTCTTGATAGCTAAGGAATCTCATTATGGAAACAGCCCAGAAAGAACACAGAACTGGTCATTTGGGCTAGAGAAGTCAAACATGCTCATATATGGTACAATCCACTAAAGTCTTCTGCATGCTATTGGCTATAACAGATAAAGTCCCTTAATTATACAAACCCTGTGGGCCACCAAGAGCAAGGAAATTTTAACTTTTTTTGTAATGTACAGCAAGTAGAGATTTCAGACAGAAGATAGAAAAAAGGAAACCATCTTTGCACTGTTCAGGAAAGAGAACCCTCCCTATACACGCATTGCTGTCAACAGGGTCTCCATCCCCTCCTACATTCTCTGTGACACTACTGCCTCCAGCTATGCACAGCAAGTGCAAGCTAAACCAGAGGTGGATTATCTTATCCAGACCGAGCTAATCTTAAGTAGGAAATGCAGTATCTATCAGAGCAAAGAAAACACCATCCTATAAATAAATGGAGAGCCTTGCCAGCTGAATGTTAAAAACAACACTGTTAGAGACAATACGACAGTTGCAAAACTTTGCTACTCCATCACTACAGCCATACCTGTCTTTTGGTCACAGTGCCATCCACAGGATCTATGTACTCAAAGCTGTCCGTTCTTTCCACACTGTAGATATTGTTACCCACAGCAAACTGCTGATGGCTGAATGATTTGTCAGTGATCAAAGCTTCCAGGTCTCTCATTATGAAATATGCTGTTCTGGGTTCCAGTGCTTCATAATCAAACCTTGCACATACATAAAAAAAGTAGAACGAAGAAGTAAGTCCCCTAAAGCTGAGAAAACAGTTTTGCTTTCACAGAACTCAATATACTCACAATTAGCAATTTACTGCTTACTTCAAAAATCAGAGGTGGACCACTGAAGTACTGATCGGAAATTAAACCAGCACACACATGCAAGTCCTGTGCGATCTGACCATTACGTGTGTGCACCACAGTTCTACACTGGCCACCTGACTCTTCGTCAACAGAAATCATTTAGAAAATGCACAGTTTTTAAAGTAGCATAGAAAATGTCATCAATACACAGTTAGCTTTCTGAGATTAAGGACACAGTCAGTGCAGTGCTCAACAGCCGCGTGAAACAGAGAAAACTTTGCTGTATGTTTTGGGAAACAGCTGTGTGCAAAAGACCTTACAGATATGTAAACTCCTCTGGATTAAGTCTATTCTGAGAGAAAGAGAGAGGCAGAAGCTAAGATGTAAATGGCAGTTAGAATTCACCTTTTCGAGATCTTAAAAATGAGTAAATGTTCAGATCTTTGGAAGAGTTCTCCTGAATTAAAAGTAGGCATAGTTCCAATTTTCACTAAAACACTGCCACATGGAAGCACATACAGAAACAAATGCAGGAGTAAAACTTGCTGAGATTTTGATATTTTTTTTCAACACCATGTAACGAGCTATGCCTACAGATTCTACAAGTAAATAATGCAAGTCTTTCTTCCATTCAGTATCAGAAAATTCAATACTAGAAGTGACATACACACGCTGCTCTTTCAGTAAGTAAATAACTTCTGCTGCCACACACTCATCAGAAGAAACTTGCCATAGAACAGTAGCAATCTGTGCAGATTTTCATTCTGTGGACACAGCAAATGCACACCTAAATGCAACTGAGCACAGCTAAACAAGCCATGGTTGTAGCAGAATTATCCTATCAACTGTATAAGTTTCCTCATTTTTCTCACCTGCAGTAGTAGTGTCGGCCAAATTTTGTCCAGTGATCCCTGACAATCTCCTCCACACTCTGCTTTCGAGCTGCTAGGATTGAAAGCCAAACTAGCACAGCCCATAGTCCATCCTTCTCTCGAAGGTGATCAGACCCTAAACAGACATATGTAAACACATTATTTGGTATCACTGCAAATCAGAAAACAAGGTAAAAGAGGCTGGGCAAATGTCTCATTTAACTTTGCGTGTAACATAATCAGTAATCAACAATACTAACCTCAGCAACTCTGATATCGTCCAGATGGACAACCAGAACTAATGTTTAAAATGTGATTTATTTATATATGACAAAGTCCATACTCCTAAGGTTAAATAAAAAGATGTACAAGTACTTGAACAGAAATGGTAGTAGCAGGAAAACATTTTTAGTCATAGAATCATAGAATGGTTTGGGTTGGAAGGGACCTTAAAAGATCATCTAGTTCCAATCCCCCTGTCATGGGCAGGGACACCCTCCACTATGCCAGGTTGGTCAAAGCCCCATCCATGCTTCCAGGGATGGGGCATCCACAGCTTCTCTGGGCAATCTGTTCCAGTGCCTCACCACCCTCACAATAAAGAATTTTTTCCTAATACCTGATCTAAACCTACCCTCCTTCATCTTAAGGCCATTACCCCTTGTCCTACTACTACAATGCCCTTGTGAACAGTCCCTCGCCAGCTTTCATGATTCCTACTCACTGACATACAGGGTGTTTTCACACCCCTGGTACTGTTGCCCAGAACTGGGCTAGATATGCAAACCCCTGGTCATGAACCAGAATGCTCTATGTGAGTCAAGTTCATCAGCATCTCCTTATATCTGTAGATGTTCATTTGTCAAGCTGCACAGAAAGAATTTTCCCATTTCATGAAAAATGAAAATTTCCACAATGTTCATGATCTCCCGTCAGGACAAAAACAAGATCCTGAAAAAATATTTCTGGAAAAAAAAGAAACAAACCACAAAAATCCCAGATCAGAGAATCACACTTCTCCTTTCTGTATTTCTCTATACCTTCCAGTGATAAAGACGTTTGGATGCTCAGATCTAAATCCCTTCCTAGGTTTATATTTATGAAGAGAGAAATTGATCCAACAATGGAGACTAAGAACAATTTCAGAATACCCCTCAGGATTTAGCACATACTCTCAGATATGGGGGGCACAAGTTCAAGTCTATTATCTGAATTCAAGAGAGCAAGACTTGATCTTGCACTTCTCATGTCCACAGCCAAAATGCCAACTTGGAGTAACAGACTGCTCTGCAACAGACGTGTAACATATCTTAATCAGAAATATTTCTATGAAGCTAAGCTCTGCCTGTTAAACTTGGAATGTATCAATTAGCAAAAAGTTTAAATAAAATCTGTATTTTCTAACAAAAGACTGTTTCATGGAAGATTCTTGTTCATCTCAGCAAGTGCCTTCTTCTTTTGGATAATTTAGAACAAGCTTTTGTGGCAATATGTATCTAACCCAGATTACCAAAAAATGACAAGGAAGCATGCCTGAGTATTAACACAAAGTAAGATCCAAGACACCTGACACTCTGTAGATATTCATGATGACTCCATAAGCTAATAGACTCAAGAAACTTGAAGAGACATCAAATATGTGGCCATTGCTCTGGTATAATAATACTAGATTTTGTTGAAGTATGATGTTAGCTGCAACCTTATAATTTTCTGTCTACATGCACATTATTGAAAACCTCAGTACAAAGTAAGCACGGTAATTCATCAGTTTTGTTTCCTCCATGAATTACCTACTGCTCATGGAGGCAACCAGTTGAACTATATGTGCCCTTAGAAGATACTTAGCAAAATCCTCCAGAGAGGAATCTAAAAAGTCTTAGGTTGAAAACCTGTTTTATGAAATAACCTCCATCCTCAAACACAAAAATCCTGTGGCAGCAAGACTGCTTTGCAGTGCTGTGATTTTACATAACAGCCTGCAAGGTCTACACAGTCATCTGCCAAGATGGCTATGTTTTGCTACTGGCAGAGGACATCGTTCCCATTATATAAATTGATGCACTGAAGCTGTTAATCCTGTGAAAAACTGTCAACAGAAAATTAAAGACATATAAGGAAAACAGCAAGACGTGCCGAGAGCCACCGCGATTCCTAGAGTTCAGTCTTGATGTCCATCTTCCAGTCACTGCTGCCGCCTCAGACTTGCAGTCCCTCTTCTTGGGAGACAGCAAGAGTCACAGTAGCAAATGCTACTCATAGACATTTGCTAAGAGCCCATGGTCCGGGGCCTGCCACAGCACGGCCTGCCAGTAACACCTCTGGTGTTACGTTCAACCCTGGGAGTATAGACCTCCAACACCCTGAATATAACATTAAGCAAGTTAGCTACCACAGAGTTAAGTAAATGCAAATTACTATTTCAGTATAATATCCGAGTTGTACTGGAATAATTACTAAAGACTTGTGAAGAGGAAAAAGACTTCTGTGAAGATGAGGTTTATGTCTATGAGCTAGGTAATGCAGAAAACAAGGACATAAAATACTGCAGATAGATTTAAGAGCTGAGACAGACAGTAATATTCTTTTGCATTTGCATAGCTGTCATGATAGTAAGAATACCCCCCCCCCCATCACTTTTTACCAGGCTTGATCTGTGATCTGCGAACTCTCTGCAACAAGGGCAGTCTCCTACTACAGGGCCCAGAGCTGCAGGCTGGTCCTCGAGGACCTGCTGTAGGAAGAGGAACAGCTTGCTCTGTTCCCCGCTCCAGAGTCCCGGGTGCTGTCAAAGCACAGAGTGACGACAGAAAAAAAGGGCAAGGTTATTTATGAGCTCTCACAGCTTTGCAAATAGCTCCAGATAAGAAAGGAAAACAAATGTCCCTCCACAGGAAATCAGCCGTTCGGACATTCAGGTCCTCACCTTTTCTAGTCCCTTCTTGTGATAACACACTAGATCAGCGGAAGGATGCCTTCCACAGAAACACCAGCAATAAGGCCTATGAATAATAAAGTCAGCTTTGCTCGTAGGCAAAGCAGATGGCATGGTCACAATCACTGTTATTGTAGCCAAGAGTTTGTTCCCAGATAACAGTGCCAGTGAGAGGGGGAACTGGGAACTGTGAATTTCGTTTCCACTGGCTAGCTTGCAATTGTATAGCACGAAGGGGTTAAACGAACGGAATTTGTGGTGTGAGGGCTTACACAAATCAAGCGAAGCAAGAAGGTCCATGGACCTTGTCAAGGATGACTCCTGATAACAACTAGAAGTCTGTCTCAAGAAACTGGCTGAAACCAACCTTGCGGTTTGGACAAGAATCAAGGAGTAACTGAGTCTGCACAAGAACAAGAAGTTACTTGCAGTGATGAAGAAGAGCTATCAGCCTTCATCTTTACGACCCCCCACGACCACCACCAGGAGGCACTGTGCAAGGGCAGGGAGGAGGAGTTATGGAAATAACTCCTTGAGACTTGTGTTAATACGAAGCAGGGACAGGTCATGAATATGTACAGGCATGTTATGTAACCTTATGAATATGTAATCACTAGACTGTATAAAACTAAAATAAAGTAGCGACGTACCGCGCACAATTTTGGTGGGATGACCCCCGTGCTGCCCAGCGCTGAATAAACATACCTACTTTACAACTTTCCCAGTTGTGGAGTCCGATTTTCCGCACGTCACCAGCGCCGGTTTCTGCCACTGCCACCAAACAAGAGACCTAGAATAGAGCTGTCACTTCCCACCAGCGTCCATCACCCCTCTGGCAGCAGCAAAAGTTGTCAGGTCACCATGGTGGCTGGGCGCTCCTTAGGGACCAGGAGCAGGGGGAGGCTCCCTGGTGCCCATCACGGCAGGGCCTGGCAGCCAGGTCCTGTCCCTGCCCCAGCCAGGCGCAGGCAGATGGGGGAGCTCCGGGCAGCCCCAGCCTCAGGCATCGGCACCTCCCTGGGGACGGGGTGAGGCTGGGCCAGGGCATGGCTCTGTCAGTAGGCCAGGCTCTGGGGCGGGGGGTGGGGGGGCCACGCTGTGGGGAGCTGGAGACCAGCCCTGCTGCGGCACCACTGGGGCAGGGGCTGATGGCCCTGGGGAGTGACATGAGGGTCCTGGGCCCTGGGCAGGGTGGGCGAGCCCTGGGGCATGGGCAGGGCCCTGATAACAGTAAGCTCGCCCCACCATGGCTCTTCCTTTCCTTCTTAACCTGCCTGCCTCTCCTTTCAGCCATTTACACTTAGCACTGAAAAATTCAATATTTCACCTAAAAAGTAATCTCTGTTGCTGATACTACCAGCAACTTAAACTGCTTAAGTGTCTCAACAGACACCAGCAAGAAGTGGAGACATGGTATTGAGCTAAACACCTCAGCAATTTGTTCCAATGTAAACAATCATTCATTCTCCTGTTGTGTAACACTCTGCAGACTGCAAGCCATCAAATCGTACCGTGAAGGGCACAGCATTCATTCAGCAAAATGGCCTATACATCATGAGAGCTGTGCAATGGTCTGAACTGAACACCAAAGAAGAGATGCGTTTTGATTTAACAAACACTTTGAGTATGTTTCATTGAACCAAAACAGTTCAGTGAAACATGGACAAAAGAATTTTTTGAAAGGTCTCTGTTGTGCTCTGAGCCTTGTTCTGGCGTCACTTATGCTCATAAATCTCACTGAAGAGGGATGATTGTAGACACGTATCATTCTTCTGATCCATTTAGCAGCTTTGGCATGTGCTGTGTCCTTATGTGTCCTTCAGGAGGACATACAGATTGTTGCTTCTCTGGAAAGAGAAAGCATTGGAAGAAAGTAATCCAGAGGAAAAATTCTGGATGGAAAAGCTGGAAACAACCCAGCTGTTCCAGAATCGAACCTGCTGCTGTGGATCTGCAGAGGCAGAGCTGCCCTGTGCAAAGGGATCCGGTAAAAGGTGCCTCGCAACTATCCGTTGTTGAGATTGCAATACCAATAGTCCTACTGGCTTGCTGAGGGCCCTCAGCAATCTTGGGATAATTCTCAGTAAAACTTTTAATTGAAACATCCAAGGCACTAATGAATTCTGGCCTCTATTTAAGGACCTGAAGCAGAAGGATGCAGCAGAAGAGTAAACCAATATTTTCTTGATTATACCATTATATTT